CTCCCCCACCTCCTACAATGAGGTGTTCGGTGAGCAACCTATTTACAGACCTCAGTACAGTCACTTAAAAGGGTATAGTCCACTGTAAATGCAGTATTTGCATTATATACATTGGGATAACAAGTATGTCAATCCAGACTGTGTAAGATGTCAGAGGCTGAGATGTAGGAACACCCTGAAGTACATGTCACCACCAAATGAAGCAGCCAACAGGAAACAGAGTGTAAAATACCTCTCAATGTGCTGCTGGGACAGGATCAACCGGTTTTTTCAAACGCAGAGTATAATGGTTACAAATGTTCTCAGGAAAGAGTTCTTTATATGAATTTATATAAGGTGCCACTATGCGGTCAGTTTTGTTTATTTGAGCTTAAGTTCCCAGCAGCTCATTGATATCCAGTTCTCGGTTTCTTACTGTGTTTAGATTAGATTCCTCCATCCACGTTAAACTGTGTGGATGGAGGAATCTCCCACTGGGCCAAACTTCAGTATCTTGCTAGTCGGCCCCGCTGGTTGTCAAAACACCTGAACAATGCCTGCATCCAATCAGATTGTTCAGATGTTTTGAGAGCCAGCGGGGCAGACTAAAAGGTGCCCACACACCTTGCGATAATCGTACGATAATCGCGGGTGTGTGGCATGTTCGTAAGATAAATGCTGCACGGGCCGGTGTGCGCAAGCGCACACTGCCCGTTCAGCATTGCGGTCATCGGAAGCCCGCCCCTCAGCAGAGTGGGCCTGCGATCATCGCAAGTACGATCTGTCCACGATAGGCAGATCGTACGTTTTTTTAATTACCTTACAACCATCGCAAGACAAAAGTCTTGCGATGGTTGTAAGGTGTGTGCCCAGCATAACAAGATACCGAAGCTTGGCCCAGTGGGAGATTCCTCCATCCACACAGTTTAGCGTAGATGGAGGAATCGGTTGCACTTTTTCCATCTGACCATAGAAAATCTGCAGATAATCTATAGGTGTATGGGCAGCTTAAAGCAGAATAATCAAATAGATATGCAAGTCTTTGCTTGCTTTGTCAGAATGTCTTTTATCACTGAAAAAACATACAAACCAATATACAGTATATTTGATGTCATCCAAATCTTGCACATGTCCTTGGGATCTCTAGCGGAACAGAAATTATGATATTGTGATGTGAAGCTAAAGCGTTAAAAACACTAAAAGCTTGTTATAACAAATCAAAATTCTCAAAAGCAGATCAAATGGGAAAAATTGTCTAAAAATTCACAAAATCCATAACAGAGAAATATACATTTAACACCTAGAACTTGTACAAGGCATACAGAGTAAAAAAAAAAAAAGCTGTTTTTGCTCATTGTTGTGTATGTTATACCGAATTATTAAACATTATTTTGGCTTTTTTTTTAAAGAGTAATTATGGCCAAAAACTCAAAATAAATCTGTATTTTTATATTGGATGTCCATAAGTTCTATCCCACTCCTAACAGTCATATCCATCTAGAAGTTTGTAAACTTGATGTGTAGGATGTACACGTAGGATGTATGTCTCAATGCAGTGATACAATTTCACTCAGGCCCTGTATCACAACTCTCACAGAGCCTGCCTTCTGAGCTACAACTCAACGTCTGAGCAATGTAACCACATCATTGCTTGCTGGAAGCAATGCATGATGGGACATGTAGTCTTAAGAAATGGAAATTGCATCACATCAAGCAGCAGGGAAAGAGATGCAAAGCACACAGGGAATCCCAGAAGTTGTTGGAAGTAATGGGCAGACGGAAGGCAGCACTCACTACATAAAAGGTTTTTTTTTTTTTCAAGTAAGCTGTGATTGTATTATCAAAAACAACTTGAATATGTATTCTTATTACAATGCTGATGTTATAACTGGATAATATATGCTGGGACTTTACAACTCCTTTAAAGCTGAGGTTTGAAGATTGGACATATGCCTGTACAGCGCTGATGCTACACCCGGAAATCTGAACATTTGTAAAGAACACTGTAGTGCTGTATAAATGAGCCAGAGATTTTTTTTTTAAAGCAGCAGTATGACTGAGGAAAGGCCATACAGCGGCTTTATAATTCAGCCCTTTATTATAAGCACTGCATCATTCCAATATTTTACTAATTTCATTGTGCAGCACTGATGCTGCACAATATGACAAACAATCTTCTTTTAATGATTTTGGGAGCCGCTCAAAAGAAATGAGAAGCCAGTTAGAGAATCAACCCTATTAACATTCACCCATAATTTAAATAAATCAGTAATGAGTGGACTGTCCCTTTAATTACACTTACTTAACACACAATGAGCTGCAAAGTGCTGATCCTGGAATGCTAGGAAACTACAGTGTAGAACACAGCATATTGGCAGGACATGGATTCATGTACATAAACCCAGAACACATACCATCACACATTCAACAGATTGGGTACTGAACGTTTCTTTTAATTTGCTGCTATATGTACAATAAAATTAGAAAACTCTCTTTACAAACATTTAAAAAATATATCTGGTATTAAGTACTTAATACATGACAATGCAAATAAATTCCCTTTAATTTGTGCTCTTCTTACAAAGAAAGCATGCTGATCTTTTTCATACTGGCATTACTAAAATACAAAAATCTGATCATTATATATTATTATATATATTGAGAACAAATGCCAGAGCACCACATTCATATAACACCATGAGTTGGGAAATCATGACTATATAAACCTTAATCAAACCTTATTTTTAGATTTCACACCCTGACTGGTCTAGTTAATGGACATCTTGCTACAGCAAGCTCTTGACAGCCCAGTCCAGCATTAAAGTCAACCTTTGGGCAGTTGAAAAAAAAAAACTGGTAAACTACCAATAAGACTGAAGGGGAGACATCCACATACTCTTCACCTGCAGGATGGCCAGAAACTGCAAATTAAGACCCTGCAATCACACTTGGGTCCACCCCTTCCTACCTTCACTGCCGGTCAAGAAGCTGCGATGGGCATCCGTACTGGCCAACAGTGAAAGATGGGAAAGGTAAGGGAACTGGCCAAACTTTAGGATCTATAGTTGCTTCCTAAAAGAAAGCACCTTGGGTTCTTTGGTCATGGTGCTAACTGGGTTCAAGTAAACACAACCTTCTTTACCTACTCTTTAGTCGTGCTGCTGGATTACTAACTTGAACCTGATCAAATATAAGTTTTAAGCTTGCATAGTATTCATGCATACTATTAATCAGACATTTAGGAGCAATCTGCCTTACTTAAAGCTGAACTCCAGGGACAAGAAAATGTCTCCCTTGCAGTGGGGCTCCTCCCACACTGCAACAGCTAAATGCTTGTTTATGCCTAGGGGACAGGAAAAAGGACTTACCTAATCCCTTTCTCCTGTAGGCCCCATCCACACTAGGTGGCTGGGTCTTGTAGCCTCTTCTCTAAGGCACTCTGGCGATTGCAGGCATTCTACACTATCAAGTGTAATGCAGGCACAGAATGCCCTGCATTGTATGTGAGGACACCAAGAGACCCCACAACCCAGAGTGTCATAGAAATGAGAAGAGTGCTGGCCACTGGAGAAACAAGGTAAGTAAAAGTCCTTTTTACCTGTACCTTAGGCATTTAACCCTTGTAGTGCAGGGAGGCCCCACTACAAGGGAGGAGTTAAGCTTTAAACAAAATAAAAGATGGCTCTCCATAGTCTTATGTTTGGACAAAGTAACACAATGTGATATCTTTAACAGCTGCGTGTAGAAGGAACCATAGCAAAAACAAAGGGGCCTTATGGCTTCAAAGCCTGCTATGCCTTCTCCAGCTAGCCATTAAAATATTACCAATGTACTAAAAGTATGATTCTTCAATTATTTTTAGGACTTCACCTTCATGAAAAATTATAAACTTTTTATAAGTATAAATCTTACTCAACAAAAATGTGCAAAAATATCTGGATGTATATACAAATGGATATAATAAAGAAGTCTAATGTGTTTTAAAAACCCTTACATCTTTGGAATTAGCACAAAAAAATCATCCTAACTTCAAACCTTTTGCTTTTATCAATGCCTAACACGATACAACATTCTGCTGATTCCATAAAATGCAAAGCACAAATTCACCCATGGCAAGAAAAAAAAAATAGAAAACCCATCCTTTAACACATCGGTTCTCAAGTGGTACATGTACCCTGAGGGTTAATTCTAATAATTTAAGAGGGGATTCTGCCTTTCAACGTAACTCTTTAAATTATATATTGGACTGATCTGAGAAATTAAAGTTCGGAAAAGAAATATACATAGTGAGGGAGTACTGGTAATAAATTATATTTGGGGTGCTAGTAATAAAGCTGACACCACCAGCTGGTACTCATTAAACATTGCCTTTCATAAAGGGCTGCATACTTTATAAAGATGATCTCATTGCAAGACCGCTACCAGTTAACAGCACCTTGTACATCTTCTTTACTCTCATTGCATTTCCTAAGTGGATGAGAGCAAAAGACGTGCTGCATACTGCAACTTGTTCAAGACAAAGTACAGGAAGAATAAATTAAATGCTTTGCAGGAGGTAAATGTCATGTGTAAGTTACTCTTCCCTATCTAAAGTCCTTCCCAAGAAACATTGCTTTAAATTTATCTTGCTGCCTGAAGACTTCCTGTCCGATCTGAGTCCTCATAGATTTCTAAAGGGCCAACTACTTCATTTCAAACTCTAGATAGCAGCACAGGGACTCCAAATTGTATGCATCAGGGGTGCAGGGAGAGAGCTGCATATTTAAAGCAGTGTGTATAGAGAAGGATGCCACGGAGGCCTAGGGAGCCTATATAATACACTCACTTCCACCACAGCTTTCAGATACATTTTCTTTAAATTAATTTGTGCTTGGATCACCAAAATCTGCCTCATTAACAAACCTGGTAAATGCTATATGAATATATAGCATATAATATATGCTATATGAATCACAGGTCCTTAATTTGTTCTGATTGAAAAGTTAAATAAGACCAGTTCAAGCAGCTATTGGTGCTATATTCAAGAGAAGTATTTGAGGGGAAATGACAATGTGAAGTGCTCTCAGGCTTAAAGTGCTTGTGAAAAAGATTTCTGTCATTCAAGATTCTACTTCAGTGCTGTATTCTTCATTTACAAGAAGAACATGATCCTTTTCTTCATAGTCAACACACAGCAAGAACCTGCAATGGAATAGACAATAGAGACAACTGTTACCAATGTTCTGTGTTTAAAGGATATATCCACTTAAAAGTAAATCATCATATCCACTGCTGCAGTTCAACAATAATATGGGTTATACTTACCTGTAGTGTAGCTCCACCCATATCCTTATTGTGTGGTCTACCCAGCACTGCACAGCCCCTCTTTAGACATCTTCTCAGTTCTGCATCATTCCACCTATGCAAGTACAGCTCAAATCCCAGCTCACCCACATCCAGTCAACCCTGTTAGGCTTCCTATGGAAGTAAATGGACTGGTAGGATGCCAGAAATGTTCCAAGCAGGGTCTGTGCAGCTCTGTGCCTCTGTTTGGCAGTGTCTACGTCTAACCATGAATAAACATGAGAGGGCTGGCCCATCCGGTCAAACACATTTGGACTGGGTGATGCTCATCTCATGTCTATGGTGAGAGTTTGTGAAGATTGTTGGTTAAGGAAACTCACAAACATGCTATGCTTTGGGCTGTTCTCTACACCCAGAGCAATTGAATACCTGCTGTTTATGGGGTTCATTGACCCTAAGAGCAGCAGCTACACAGTTTACGTGAGCATTTGACTGTTCCACCTAACACAGTGTAATGCTTATTAATAGAATACACAAAGCATCTCATGGGGAACATATCCTACTGAGATGATATGCACTGCTTTTGACAATACAGCCAATTGCTTGTGCACACTGTAGGGCCAATGCTCGTATTGTTCAATGAACCCTATAAGGAGTGAGTAGTAGACTCTTAAAAGGCTAGCTACTCTAAAGCAGTAGCAGAAGGACCTGGGCTATCCCTATCTAGCTCCTGTTATAATGGATCTTAAATTTGGGGAGCAAGTGTAGAAATATTAGCCAAATTGCACGTCAGTTTTTGTTATTGTACAACCACCTTTACCACAAGCACATAACATTCCATTTCAGTGATTCATAAGTTCATAAGCACACAGAGAATAGCATCCTCCCTTAATCTAATCAGGAACCAAAGGCTCGTGCTTTGTGTCCATCACAAGCTAATTCTACTTGACAAAGAGGCCTTTAGAATCTTAATAACATAACATCTAAATTAACTAATGAGGTATGTACAGTATATAAAATCATTTTACTAAGAAATTAGATTTAAGTGGAAATGCCACAAACAAAGCAGCCTCTTACCACACTACTCCAAATGGAATTAAGCTGAGTCCAGCTGATAACAGGAAACAAAAGCCAGGAAACCACAAGACAGTGGCTGCGTAGATGCTGTTGAAGATAGCAATGGTCAGGCTTCCAGTTAAACTCTCCAGACAGGCAATGCATGCAAACAGAGCGCCTGAAAAAGAGGAACAAAGACAATTGTGTATTACAAGGCAACAGTTTAAATGTAAACTGTTACCTGCAAAGAAAATGGATGCACAGGACGAATGGCTCTGCACATTATATACAAATACCCCCCTAACAGTGATTAGGGAAGCAACTACTGAGCAAATGTTGTTGGCAAGGCTTCATTTATATTTGTACGGGACTGATCAAGTGATAGACTCATGGGCTTATTTAGAAAAAGAAAGAACTTTTATTGTATGTCAGCACCTAGGGTCCCAGCATGACCATTCCATCAATGCAATCACTAAATGTAAGGGACAGTCCACCCAAACCTATTAGGTCCTAAAAGCCGCTTACTGCTTACTGCAGCCATACTACTGCTGTAAAGAAAAATCTGCCGCTTTATAAAGCACAGCGATGTTGTTTAATTCCAAGATTTGCATTGTCTAAATATGATGCCACCTCCTAATTAAAATGTTAGGGTTAGTTCACACCATATGCACTGCGTTCCGATCCGATTCTGGCCAGAACGCACTGCATCGAAATGTGCCTTGCGAGCCCGTGCAGGCGATCGCATTGTGGCCGGAAGGCGTGGCTACGGTGCTACTCACTTCAATGGCCCGTCACGCCCCCTCTTTCCCCACAAAAAAGTGAGCCGCCCGCAATGTGATGCAGTGCGTTCCGGCCAGAATCGGACCGGAACGCACTGCATATGGTGTGAACTAACCCTAAATGCCCCTTTTTCTCTTCCTGGGGGCCTGCCAATGAGATTTTGCTTGATTATTGTCTTTAAACCTTTATTTTTTAAATAGTTGTAAATACTTGTTTCTAATTATATGTATTTAGCTTAATATGAAACGGCGCCATTTACATTGTATGTCAGACTCAAGGTTGAGCCCAACTGTTGAGTGAGGGCTGGGATAAAAGGTGTAATTGCTAATGTGGAAGCATATAGGAAGGGGAAGGCTGAAAGGGTAACAACTGAATGATCATTACAGATCAGGGGGTAAGCGAGCGAGTATATGTTCAGCCCTTAGGTACCCATTTTAATTTTAGATCTATAAATACATAATTAGCAAATTAATAAAAAGACGCCTCGGCCTATGGCAGACTCTGATGGGTTTGATACCTCTGTATTACTGGCTCCACATACCTTGCAATCATAGCATACAGTATCTCGCTCAGCTTCTACTGAAGCACTTCGCCTATACTGACTTGTCTAAATATTTCTATGGTCCATCCAATAGAGAGTGGTTGAAAACATTAACTGTCATCTGATATACGTCAGTCTGTAGCATTGCTGCCATTTCATAGCGGAGACTTCCCCCTCAAGGACCATGTTTAAGCAGCTATCAGTAAAAAATAAAATCAAGGCAACTGGACTTACTGTATTTTTCTTGAAGACATTTCACTGGTCATCCAACCAGCTTTCTCAATTCAGAATGACTGTTTGAGACAGCTGGTTGGATGACCAGTGAAACGCCTTCAAGAAAAATACAGCAAGTCCAGTTGGCTTGACTTATTTTTTACAGATATACCATGACCTGGATGAATGAGAACCTTCACAGACAAGCAGCTATCAGGGTATCAAACCCACCAGGATCACCTGAAAACAATGTATGTGGATGGGCTTACTCTTACATTTCACTTATTTCCTATATTCTGGTTCCGCTCACAGGGAATGAATACAATGTTACCTTGTTCATTTTCCAAAACTACTTTGGACATCATTGACCGTATCACTGGAAGAGGCATTGCAGAGAACAGAAGAGGAACTCTCACTGTAAAACAGTTTCAAATATCAGACATGTTATTAAAATACCTAAAGGAAATAAAAAAAACTTTACTGATACAAACTTCAACTGCTCTTGTTATAAACTTAAATGCAAACATTTTCCATGGGTATAAGGCATATATAATGAAATATGGGCTGCCAATAAAGCTGGCTGTACACCAGAAGCACTGGCCAAGTTGCTGACCACACACCAGCTATAACATTGATGGCCATATTCATTCAGCAACAAGTCAAATACAAAGACTTTGTTAGTAGTAGCTGGAATGGTCATATCATTAGGATCAAAGCCCTCTAAGAACCCATTACACACTCATTAGGTAACAACATCTGTTTAAACTAGCTGTCCACGGCTTCATTTTCTCTTTTTCTGTCCACGGAAGAGAAAATCAGAGAAAACCATTTTTAAATCCACTTTTGACAAGCTGGGTGGTGCTTGCAGGGCCACCCATGGCTCCAATTTCAGCTAATTCAGCATTAAAGCGGATTTCCAGCTATATATATATATTCTTTTTTTTAAGAGTAAGAAAAGGTTATGAGCTCTGTTGGGTTTTATTGCTATTTGTGTCTCCAATGGGGAAGATTTCTTCTCACTTCCTTTTGTTTTCCCAGTAGAGGGAATAGGGGAACATCTCTCTGATGAGAGCACAGACATAGAAAAAGTGGTAACAGTTGTCACCAGGGCAAGTGTCCTGACTGAGCGCTTTACCCTAACTCCCTGTTGAGCGAATATAAATCTCTGCAAAAGGGATACAGACAAAAATAACAATAGTTAAAAAAAGATTCCAGAAACTTTCACACGGGCTAAACAGGAGGGGATCCGTGCACAGATCCCCCCCTGATCGGAGCAGTGTAGTGCAGATGTCACTACTGTGACATCCGTGTGCGTCCAGTTTTTTCTGCTAAACTAAATCTGCTGAACCCCATGTCAGTCTATGGGGAGTTGGATGTAAACAAACATGCGTCTATTTACATCAGATTACCCCCGATGCGGCACGAGCAGGTCCAGCGAAACGGAACACTGTTCCATTTGTTTTTCCAGACCTGGCCAGGGTTACCCGGCTATGAACGGACTCACGTCCATTTATACCCAACTGCCCATAGACTAGCATTGGGCATTCGATCATAAAAAAACTGACAGGCGGACCCGATCGGACCATCTGTATGAAAGAGGCCTAAAATAACCCAAAAACAAACAATAGTTATAGCCCTACCACGTCCTACACACAACTAAATTAGAAAAAAATGTTTCTTCTAAAGTTTCACTTTAATGAAGGCCTATGTAACTATTCTCAATATACTGTATAATGTATGTGTACTTTGTACAATGTTGAGTACTTCTATTTTAGGATAAGGTTTGTTTATCTGTAATGTTTAACTCAGAAATCTGCTGAACAGACACAAAAACTGTACTACGGTTTATTAAGAGGGATTAGAGGACATGGGACAAAGTTCAACAGGGTGTTTTGGGACAGAGCTGACATTTTTAAAATGAATTGAATAGCTGAAAAATATGATAGAGTTCAGGTGGTCAAGGCCTACCCGTCGTGCTGGCGCATATATACATTAAACCATTGGGAAGAGGGGGTAATGTTCTCCCTTCAAGTAATGCACTTTTGAGCTTCACCCTAGACTAGTGCTTTCTATGGCTACTTGCCTTGTCCAGACCCTATGTAAGTAGGTATTACTTAGTATTAGTATTAAAGCGGACCTTTACACTCAAACATTAAGTTCTACCAATGCACCCCTCTGTGTATGATGATTAATAATAACATAGACATGTCAGGTGTAAAAAGCTGTGATTCTGAAATACTTACACTTGCAGAGCATTCACTTCCTGCTTTGAAAGGGCAAAACGACTTCAGTTTGGCAAAGCAATGCACACTGGGATTACCTTGTCATCAGCAGACAGAGCATTGCTGGGAAATTTCATCTGTAATATTATGAGATCTCAGGCAAAGGCATTTTCCTCCACTGAGGTGATGTGCATGGTCACATGTCCTAGTCACATGTGCCAGAAATCCAGGAAGTAATAGGAGAGCTAGTAATTTGCCCTTAGTAAACATGGCCAGTGTCAAGAGACTGATGGAGAAAAGAGAAATAAGGTATGCAAAGAATACAAAGCCGGCAATTATCTAGAAGTATGTGTTTGTAGAATGTCATCACTAAGCATTTCCATAGGTGGCTTGTTGTTATTTTAAGGATATGGGTAAAGGGCCACTTTAACTTTTCATTTCCTAAAGCTGAATTTCAGGCATTAAATCCCACCCCCCTTATATAAATGCTATGGTAAGTCCTAAGCTAAAAGCCCCTTTTTTATACCTAAATCTGTGCTCACATGATACACCAGGTTCTTCGCCACACTGCAGAGAAGGAGGGCCCTTCTTCAGATGTCTATATCGCAGCCCGGGTGATGTGGACACTTCCTATTGGCTGTCAAGTGGCAGGGTCCTCTCAGGATTCGTTACAGCCTGGTAATGCCAGGTGACCAGTCGGAGCGGTCACTTTAAAAGAATCAGGGAGATTCTGGAGATGGGGTTTAAAGAAAATCTTTTACACTGACCATTCCGTGCTAAGTGACAAGCTCTCTTTTTCTGAGGTGCCCTTACCCCACCCACTAGTACATACAACTAAACTCCCTGTCTAAAAGCCGGGACCACAAGGTGTTTGCTATTCCCTTCATTGGCGAAAAAGCCTTTCAAAGGTTAAAATTAGCCGACAGCTTCACTTTCTAAGCTATTTAGGCCAAAATATAATTCTTCTTATTAAGAGCAATAAAAAAATGACAACGACATTTCTTTAATAGGTTTGTCCAAAGACAATACAGATGCAAATCTCCCCACTGTGCATAATTACATGTACCAGCACTATACAGGTTTAAAAGTGCCAAAGCATAACCGCCATTACAGCCCGGTTCTGCGATAAGTGATTTCCTTCAGCATTTTTCATTTATTTTCTGTGTTAATGGAAAGACACCTGCAGTCTCTTATGTTTTCTCTATTCATTAGCTCACCAGTAATGACATGGCATCAGCTAATTTTCCATATCTTAAATACATAATGTAACAAAAGCCGAAACCTGCTGGACTGAAACGTATGACAAATTGCGTATGAAAATATATTTGGAGGTGACATATTTATGTAGACGAAGAACAAAGCAAACAATTTTTTCAATCTTGCCATCTCAGTATTAAAGGCCCCCGCAACCGGAACTAATATTGAACTTTCTGCTGCTCGCAAAATGAAAGTATATACAGTATAAAGCCAAAACTTTTTTTGCTTTGGATAGACTAAGGAAGGGTTAAAAACTAGGGATGCACTGTTACCGATACCAGTATCGGTATCAGTGCCGATACCAAGTACTTGTACTCGCCCAAATGCTCCGATACCTTTCCCAATACTGGAACTTCCGGTCAAAGGGAGATTTCCTCTGACCGGCAGTGCCGCAAGGGAACATGGAGCCGGGAAGCTGGCTCGATGCTGATTGGCCGGGAAGCCATCTTCCCAGTCAATCAGTGTTGAGCCGGGCAAACAAATCTGATAATATGGCGACACGACCCCCACCTTGCAGAAAAATCATTCCCCTCACATAGATCCTTAGCAGCAGTCATTACCGTACCAGTCCCTCGGCCAGCTGGGCAGACACAGCTCGTCAAGCTCTCCGGGATCTGCCCACGTCTCCTGTGTGTACAGCGCCCGCGTGATCGTCCCCCAGCCTGCTATTGCGCATGCCCAGGATTTCTGAATGAGAGCGCTGGGCGGTCTGCGCATGCGCAGTAGCAGGCTGAGGGCTGATCACAGGGCGCTGTACAGACAGGAGACGTGGGCAGATCTGGGAGAGCGGTGTCTGCCCAGCTGGCTGAGGGACTGGTACGGTAATGACTGCTGTTAAGGATCTATGTGAGGGGAATGAGGTGCCTGTTAGAAACTGTCCGATGGGTAATGACGTGCCGGTTGGCTTCCTGATTGCCCGGGAAGCCGGCTCTATGCTACCGGAATCAGTGAGTACCGAAATATAAATATCGGTACTCGTACTCGATACCGAAAAACCAGTATCGGAGCATCCCTATTAAAAACTATTTTTTTGACAGCAGTAGAGGCCAATTTAAAGCTCTGTTTCGCTGGTACATGGTCCCCCTTAAAATAGCTAAATTTGCAGAAGGAACCTCCCCAAAGTGTTTTAGGGGATGTGAAGAGGTGGGGTCAATGTTACATATATGGTGGAGCTGTCCCAAAAATCAAGAGGTTTTGGATGGGTATCTACCGAATGATTAACAAAGTATTGGGCAGGCGAATAAGATGCAACCCATGGGAGGCTTTACTTAATTTAGGCCTGGGGGGCTGTACCAACATGCAGTTTAAATGCGTGACTTTTCTATTAACAGCAGCAAAACAGACATTAGCAAAGGCTTGCACATCTAGTGCCCCCTCTATACATCAAGTAAGGAGCAAGATAGGGTGGTATATGATAAATGAAAAACTTCCTGCAATCTTAAATGACGCAATCTTTAGATTAAAGAAAACCTGGGACCCTTGGATACAAAATCATGTCAGTAGACTTTGAAATGACATTACTAGATAGAAGCTAGAGTCTGGGGATTAAGATGTAAAATGGGGAAGATATGTGGCAATGGGGGAGAGAGAGGGAAATTAATAAGGGTAGGGGTTTTTTGTGTGTATGTATTTGTCTGGGAAGGTGTGAGGAGAATGATGAATGGGGTTGTAAGGACACAAGTGAAGACGGTACCTAGAAATTTGAAAATTATATTAAGGGGTACTTATGTTTTTTTTTTATGTGTAATCTTTTGTGTATTGTATTAATGGAAAAGAATGGTGTTGAAACTTGATGTTTTAAATTGCACATTTTAAAATGATTTAAAATGAATGAAGATTATTGGGAAAAAAAACAAGTTGTTTTTTTTTTTTCTTGCCACCTGTGTTCCATCAAGGAGATTTCCCTTCACTTCCTGTCTAATAGACACTGAAGGCTGTGAGAGAAAATCCTTTCAATCCCACTCAATCCAAAGCTTTTCAATTTTTTTTAGTTTTTGATACAGTGTGGAAGGGCAAACACCTTCAGGTTTTTACTGTGGTCTGTGTGCTCCCTGGAGATATTTGCCCTTACTTCCTGTCCTTGTGAACTCCATCACTGAAGACACCTTTGGGTAGACCTGTCGTCTCTTTTTTCCTGTGTCACTCATCATGAGGACAGGAAGTGAGAAGCAATCTATTATAGCATTAAGAACTGGTTTTAACCCAACTCTGACCAATACTAAAGAAAAGAATGAGCTGGAGTTGGAAAGCAGCAGTGGAAAAATAAACCTCAGGTGAACTATGTCCACTAATAAGCCATGACATATGTAGTAAAAACTAGTGATTCGAGCTTGGAACTGGTTGTTGATACTACAATATACTGTGATAAGATCAGACATAATAACTTGTCTACCTGAGATAAGAAATCATGAATTCATGTGACACCAAGTACGAAAAACCAGCATATCAACTCACACTGCAGAATACAATGCCAGTAATGACCTGGTATGGCCTGGTAATGACCCAGAAATGTGTATGTGTATGATGCAAAACTACAACCCCCAATATCCCATAAAACAACCTTTCTGTAACTGTACAAGTCTGCATGTACACATTCCTGACATGTCACAATATACATCATTTCATTATTAAGGCCTCGTTCACATGGGCTGCAGTCTCCACCTTAATACCGATGTGGTTTCAGTGCAGTCCAATTCATTGCAATTGTCACTTTTGACAAGTAGCTGTGTCAATGTATACAGCACTGTGTGGCTGCAGTGCTGTTATTGCAGCAGGTGGGTGGGGGGGCTGTAAAACCGCACATCAACCACGTGTTATTACTGCCCCCTTACTACCCATGTGAAGAGGCCTTAAAGTGCCAATAAACTCAGGAGTTAAATCTTAAAAATACATTCAAGTACCTTAACTATTAACAACAATGTATCTTATTTGTGTATATTTGTGTATCACTCGGCTGTAGATCCTCCAATCATCTCTGAATGGGCGCTGACACTGTCCTTCCTTCTGGAGGGGGGCTACTTTTGTTTCCCATGGTCCCTGTGTATGTTGTAATGTAGCCACCGCTCCAAGATCACTCCTGTGATGGACTACAATCTCATGTTTAGTTTACACATTTGTACTGATATTGTAGTCCATCACATTGACAGTGATGGGGAAATCTTTTTAACAGAGCCTTTGATTGCAGTAAAAGCATTCAGATGTCCCATTCATTTCTCACTCTATTTAAAACCAACAAAAAAAAATTTGGCAGGATTTACATTCTATAGGGAGGATTTCTAGTGGTAAAGGATGGAACTAGTCATTAAAGTGATATAAAGTCAAAAGGTTTTTAAGCTATTTCAAATGCTGATGAAATCATGTACAATGGATGCTTCTTCTTCATGTTTAAAAGTTTCAGTTTCCTGGAGAAGCAGCTGGTCCTCCGAGCAGTGGCCCTCATATCCTGTTTTAGGGGGGCTCCTTTCCCTTGCAGGGTCCTATGGAGCCACCCTTGTGTGTGCTAGTAACTTGTGTATGTCTCCACAAACACAACAAGGCAATCCACTCCCCTGTTCCCTACTCCTCCAAGCTAGTAGATGAACAGCTGCTGGAGGCTGCTTTGTCCATTGTGATCTTGTACTGGACAGGAAGTTCAGGGAAGCAGGAAGTTCAGGGAGTTGAGAGAGTTGGAGTCGGCTGTTTGGAAACATGATGACTGTAAGTGCTTGGAAAAAAATATAAAGACATACTTTGCTGGGCAATGTGTATTTGTTTGATCTGGATCCGTTATTGAAGAAAGCTTTGAGAGTTTAATGCTACTTTAGGAAGTTACTGGTGGAAAATAAATAGATATTTATTTCGCTGCATCACCTTGTTATGGCCTTGTATGAGTGAACAAAGACAGCAGTTACTTTCAGAAACGTGTTCCATTGGAATCTCTGATATAAGAAACGGGTGTATAATTCTGACCATAGAAATCTCAATTACTGGTGGAAATGGCTTTCAAGCACTAAGAAGCCGACCACTCACACTCGCTCGCCTCTCCTCATCTTCCAATACTTATAAATTGATGAACATGCCTTTCTCAGAACTGCAGTTTCATGACCACTGGGCATACCCATATAACAAAATGAAACTGGTTTACCACAGTGAGCCTTACCTAACATCATGGTGGTGGTTGTTGTGGCAAATGCAGCCATAACGATCCCTGCAATCCAAGACGTTATTCCAATGAAGACGATGTAGGCATCTTTCAGACAGCGTGTGAGCAGGTAAACACCGAGGAAGCTGCCCACAAAGCAAAACGTTGACAGGGCCGACCCCCATCCGATGAGTACCGGGTCCCAGCAGAGAGGTGAGTCCAGCTCATATAAAGTAAACAGGGTTACAGCTCCGAAATTAGCAAACAAAAAAGCCATAAAAGCAAACAACAGGAGGCTGATCGTCATGCGTTTCTTGCAGGACGAATGCTTAAACAATAAAAAGACCCCGGAGAAGAGTTCCTTAAAGCCTTCTTTGCTCAGTACAGGTTGATAAAATTCGGACCTTTTTACAGTTTCTTCCAGTAAAAAAATGATGTATAAAATATTTATAATGTGCAGAATTGCTGGTATGGCAAATGACCATTTAAATCCCATTGTAGTGATGATGTACCCAGAGGTGATCCCTGCAACCCCACTTGACACCCCCAAAACCATGTCAATAAAAGCTATGCGAATGTTCTTATTCTGGACGTCCTTTGCTATGTCTGCAATGTAGGAAAAACAGCCTCCGATAAATGTAGCAAAACCACCCAGGAATCCACTGAATACTGAAGACAGATACAAGATTTCAAGCGGCAGCTCAAAGAAAGCAGCTGAACAATAAGCAACGATGGTGACTAAGCCGCCTATGGAGGGCAGTAATAAAGATGCCTTCCGTCCATGATAATCGCCATAGGATACCAGTATTAAGGCCATTAGAAGACTTGGGATAAGGGAACTTAAATCCAAAGTTGTAGAGAACATAGAAGCTCGCTTCTGTACCTCCTACAAGTAAAAGAAACAATGTTTAACATTGTGTGCCCACAATTTTTTGTGTTAAGATCTACTTTTCAAATGACGAGCTACATGAGATCTAGCAACGAAAAAAAAAATCCCTCGCTCTCTCTCCTGGCTGTCTCTCTTCGCTCTCTTGGCTGTCTTTCCTCGCTCCTTCTCTCTCCTGGCTGTCATTCTTCGTTTTCTCTCCTGGCTGTCTCTCTTTGCTCTATTGGCTGTCTCTCCACGCTCTCTCCTAGCTGTCTCCCCTTGCTCATCCTCCTGGCTGTCTCTCCTCTCTTTCTTGGCTTTCTTTCCTCGCTCTCTCTCTCTCTCCTGGCTGTCTCTCCTGGCTGTCATTCCTCGTTTTCTCTCCTGGCTGTCTCTCTTTGCTCTATTGGCTGTCTCTCCTTGCTCTCTCCCCTGGCTGTCTCTCCCCTGGCTGTCTCTCCCCGCTCTCTCCCCTGGCTCACCTTGCTGTATTTTGCAAACAGTGCAGTGCAACAGGCTGTGTATACTAATATTCTTTGATGTAATACCTAGCACTTCAACCAGTATCCACCAGAAAGGTGTCAGCAAGCTTGGCTCAGTAGACTCTGGCTAATAGGTAATCGTGTGTGCACAGCGAAATAAATATACCAAAATGGAAAAAAGGGGCCGCCATTCACACCCTTTGTGATCTACCAGCATCAGCTTTGAGAGCTACTGGTAGATCACGATCTACCTAATGGGCACCCCTGCTTTAAACCATTAGCAATGCATTGCAGTACTGGGAGTGATCACTAGGTCGCGCTTGTCCACAGGATAACACAGCACTTTCACAAACAATCAATCAGACACCCGTTTCCAGAATAACACAGCACTTTTCAGAGATCGTTCAGACACTCATTCCCAGGATCCATATGAGTGACTCAGAAAGTACTGAAGACATTCAATTGGGCAACTAGTAACCTACTGTTACAAGATTATAAATGGCAACCCCATAGCACTGTATTCCCTCCATTTTATCACAACAGATTCCCTTTAACGTTCTCTTTTCTGACTGTCTTTCATGTTACACCCATATTCGGGATTTAACATGAAATATGGTCAGATCGCAACCCCCACTACACTTCCACCATCACTTACCTGAATCGCAGGCATCTACAAGTCCCATCAGCCACCGCGGCAGAGGGTCTTATAGTTCTCAATGGTATAAAAGTGCGTTGCCATCACTGCACTTGTAGTCCATCGACACTTCCTCCTGTCCATGTTACTGAATGTCCGTACATCGGTATGGACATAGACGGGAGAAAGAGTCTCCAGAAGCCAGAGCATTGCACCTGTGATCCACAGACTGCGGTTGCACTGCTTTACTGGCTCCCATACAATAAATAAATGCACCTTTTTTTTCTTTTAGAAAGAAATGTACATTTATTATTCTTTTCAGAAGGTGGAATTTCCCTTTAGATAAGGAATCTGAACTAGTAGAAAACTGAAAGTCCAGTAGAGCTCTCGGGATAGAAAGTGAAAGTAAAAAAGGTGAACAATTAGAAGTGAAAATTTGTTTAATGTACCTGGAGATTTGAAATGAGCACAAGTGTCCTAATAATGGGCCTTTTGTGTCCTATGTAAATGTGTATGTGTGAAATCAATACTACTTGGGATTAATTGACCAGTTTGTATATACCCAAGTTTTCTTAGCTTCACTTCCTTGTCTATGAAGCATGAAATATGAAGAGTCGCTTGTGATTAGATGTTGGCTTTAGCTTTGTACAAACAAATACATTTACAGCAGCAGGAAATCCCCGTATTAGACATTGCTTCACCACAAATACCCGAGATAAACCGTGTTTATAGAAGGTCAACGCCTTTTATCTCTTTTCCTTCCTCTTCCTGTCAGCCTAATGCAATCACCTCTGAACTAATATTAAGATGTATTACATGACATATACACATACCGTACTTACAAATAGAATAAAAGTGTTTAGTTTGAAATAATAAACATACAGTTAAGATGTATTAAGTGCGGAATATTGCATAACAAACAGCATAACAAAAAAAACATTATAAGGCTTCATTCACATATAGCGTTTGTATAATTACTAATATTGCTGCCCGTTATTCACCTGGACAGTCCGGGTTTTGAGTCCTGTGCTGTGTCTAGGCTTCAGCTGGTCTGAAACCCTGAAAAAGCACATACAGGACTCAAAACCCAGACTATTCAGGTGAACCTGGACAGGTGGCAACCCTACTGCCCGTGTCCCCATTGGAGAGATTCTATTCACTTCCTGTCCTACTAACAAAAAAGGAAGTGGGGCAAAAAAGCAGCAATCAAAAGCCAAGAAGTTCAGCCTCTTCCCCATTATCCTAAAAACAATAAGTTTGTCTGGAGGTCCACATTAAATTCTACACTACAGTATATAGGTCAGCGGTTCTCAACCTGTGGGTCGCGATCCAAAAGTGGGTCGCAGCCCACTGTTGAGTGGGTTGCAGCATCCACTTCTGCTGCGCTAGGTGAGAGGCTCCTCAGCCTCCTCCTTGCGCAGCAGTGTCAGTCAGCGGGAGGACAGCAGCAGCTGTGAATATAAAAGTGCCGCTATACACACTCCCTGGCAGCTGCAGCAACATCTTCCAGTTCATTACTAAGTCCTGAGTCCAGTGCGTTACTAAGTCCTGAGTCCAGTGCTCAGTTGGGGTTCACCACACTTGGGAAATGTTACCAAGGGGTCCCTGCCCTATAAAGGTTAAGAACCACTGATGTAGGTGAAAGGACAAGTAGACTGCACAAGTGAACCCTCCTCAAACGCTCTTTTCTGTCTTTCAGAGAATTAAGGTGGTCATACACTAGTAGATTTTTTTTTTTTTTTTCTGGAACGAACCCTCGTTCTATTAAGCTCTATTAAGCTTGGATACCCCATCAAGCAAAGTCAAATGTCGATTTCGAAAATCGTTCGTTAGCCATACTAACCAACCAATTTTTGAGGAACTATGGAAATAATTTCCTTTTGCGCATGTGCTGTGTTCTTGCTAACATTTTTGACAAACAAAAACCCCACTGATTTAATCGATTTTCGTCCGGACAGAGAAATATTTTCTAACCTGACCGATTGAAAAATTTCGATTACAATATCAAAAATGAAATCGGTGATGTATCATCAACTGTTCGAATTTCGTTTGCAAGAATGTTAGTGTACGATTTCCGAACAAAAATCGTGCAATGTATGGTGGCCATTACTCTCTGCTTCTCTTTTTCTTTGGCTCTCCCTTGCTTGCTTTTTGCTCTTTTTCTGTTTTCATCTTGTTTCTTTCTTCTCTCTTGTACTCTGCTCTCCATTTTCCTTCCCCTCTTTACCTTCCCTCATCCTACTCCTGTTAGTGTCCATTTAGTAGGCCATTCCAGACTCAAGTTTTCGGGATCCCTCCAATCATGGACTGGGTCCTTTCTCCCCTCTGTTTTTTGACAGCTTGTTGGGAATGTTTCCCGAGAAAACTACAGTAGGCTGTATGTTAGATCATGGTAGCCACTGACAGAGTTGTAAGAGTCCCGAAGGGATCTCATGGATATCTCCTCTCGATGCCGATCATTAATTTACCGTACTTATGACGTATTGTGTGGTGCTCCATATCTTGACTTTAGTGTCTCTTTGGCACCACATTAATTCTACTATAATATGGTAAACATGACTGTTCACATATGTGTGTTTGTGCATGTAAACCCATGTTGTAGTACACACATCTGGACATAACATGTCTGTGCTCTTCTAAATAGGGAGGATATGCACAGTTTTGGTGGCTGTGAAATGTAATTTGTGGTAGCCATGAAAACTATGGTAAAACTACGCATAAAATAAAGTTTATTTCAAATGAAATGCTGTCTGTGCTAAAAATTGGATAGTAAACAAAAGGAATATAGTTTCTACAAACAGCTAGTAATTTCCTTTACTCCTTTGTTTTCTGTATCTGCTCTCAGCTAAAGCCTAATGCCTCTTTTATGGGCCAGACTTACGTTCTCTTCGCCTCAAGTCACAATGATCACCTGACTACTGAGGCAACATTCAAGATGGTCGACAGGGTGTTCTATAATGATACCAGTGCCAGGCACTGTAAACTCTCTTATCAGCCAACAACAGTGAAGCCTCCAATCAGATAACACGGAGTAACTTTTATGACTGCATGTTTTATGGCTGCCTTGTGTACTTCACTGTGGGCACAGAGTATCACCCTGCAAAAAATTAGCTTTCTTTAAATCATTTACATAAATCCGGCGATTTATGAGAATTGGAGCAAAGAAACAACAGGGCTGGTGCCAACAGCAACAAGTGAAAGTAAAAATCTGTTTATATTGCCTTTTATGTATGTGGCTCCACTTTTTTTTTACAACAGGTTCAAAAATGAAAGTTTAATCACTTGGAAAACAAAAATTCCAAATCCAATAAAAACAGAATCGGTCATCAAGGTATGCCTAATGAGGGGTCTGTTTAGACACTTTGGGGCTCATTTAAAAAGCTGTAGCATGGCCGCAGTCATAACGCTGTTTTAAAAAAACAAGCACCACGCATATATAAAGTGCAGTAAAGTGCTTTACAAATGTGTCTACTGGCTTTGGGACTCTGAAGCCAGTGGACAGTTAAGGTGCCCATACACCTTACAACCATCACAATACTTTTGTCTTGTCAAGAATCGTACGATTCTCGGCGGGTTAGTGGCCTGCTTGTTCGACGGAAGACATGCGACCGTACAGTAGAAACGGTCGCACGCCTTCCATACACTTTGCGATTGTCGTACGATCGTGGGATTTCCCGCGATTCTCATACGATAATCGTACAGTGTATGGGCACCTTAAGGCTGGCCATACACTGGTCTATGTTTTTCGTTCAACCCACGGGCTGAGGGAGAAAAATACAGCAGATTCCTCTATCAACACTAACAGCGTGTCGATCCAAGAATCCCGCTGTTTTGCATTGTATTCTGCCTCTGTCAGAATACCCGCACAGAGCCAGCGGCTTATTGGCTGGCGGCTCTGATGGTACATAGATTTTCCGGCCAACTTCTTCAATTAGCTGATCAAGGGCTACCGACCCAAAGGGTGCCGACAGCGGCACACGCTGTGCATATTTCGTACGGTTCCTCAAAAACCAGCACAGTGTATGAGCACCTTAACAACTGAATGACTGTTCTGTACACACCTGTGCCTCTTTGCTTGCAATAGTCCTTGCTACACAAGCCATGCGCTGTCTCACCATATCCAGTCCCTGGAAATCTCATTGTCTATCTCCGGTTCTGACCTTGGCCTGTCTCTGGATTACGCTTTGGCCGCTGCCCGCCCTGACCTCAGCCTGGATTACCCTTTGCCTTATCGCTGGATAACTCTCTGACTGTTTCTTCCGTCTTCAGTCCACATTTCTGCTCGGTACCTGGAGCCGGCCTGTGGCATCACTCGGTCAGAGCATATAGTGTAAGTCCTGGGGCAAACCAAGCAACTGTAGGCGCACTTGCCTTATGGGAACGGTGGTTGCTATAGGTGAAACAACTTGTCACTATTTGCTCTGACTGTGTGCATCTGCAGCTACTCCTTACACCTTTGTTATTATTAAATCCCCCCAACCCCCCTTTAATAAAAAAAAACTCTAAATCTAGAATCTAAGTCCAAGCTCATACCTCAACCTAGTAAAAAAAAATGACACTTAGACCATGCACAATAAATTAATCCATAATGTACCTTAGAATACAGGGAGATACAGATAAATACATTCAATAAGAGAGCACATAAAGCAATGATGTGAAAAGCGCAGTGATCTATAACCACCAATTAGGTTTCACAGGTTGAGTGCAACCACAACAGTGAAAGATATTGGTTGTTATGGGTTACAGTATTTGATCAGATTGCCTGTATTTGTAGAATTTTGTAAGCAGACAATTAAGGCTCAATTGAACTGTCCATTTAAATCAGCTAAATACATTCCAGGTGCATCAAAGCGTTATTCAAAGACTAAAGGTGCCCATACACTGCACGATTATCGTACGATAATCGTATGCGATCGGGTTTTCGTACGATAATCGAGCAGTGTGAACGGAGACGTGCGACCGTTTCTACTGTACGGTCGCACGTCTGCTGTCGAACCAGCATGTTCGAAAACCAGCCGGGAATCGTACGATTCTCGCTGGTAAGTCTTGCGATGGTTGTAAGGTGTGTGCCCAGCCTTACAGCAGAAAAGCCTGTCCGCTGCCAGCATGCTGTGGAAGAAGGACCATTGCTCTCTGTATGAAAGCAGTGGTCTCTATGCAAACGTGAGACATGCCCCTTGCCAAGGCAGACCTATAGCCCTGGAATCCCAAAGCCCAGGCTCCCTTTAGATCGAAGAGTTCTAGCCCTGATTCAGCAGGGGAGGGGGAGAATGTGGGGGCCTGTTGGATCTTTGCAGAGAGACCACTGCTTGCCCACAGAGAGCAATGGTCCCACTTTGCATCATGCAGGCAGCGGGCAGGCTTTTCTACTTTCGGCTGTGGCTGAACTATAAGACTTTGATCAGATTTTGTTTTGATGCACCTGGAACGTATTTTTTAAAATTTAACCTAAAAGTTCAATTGGGTTTTACATAGAGAATAATTCCAATAAACTCTTACCTTCTGATGGATATAGCTAGGGTTGCTCTGGTTGGTTTCACAGTGTGATACGTTGTCACTGAAGGTAACAGTGGTATTAAATTCATTTTCCCACATTCTGTGATAGATGTACTGCCCAATTATTGGGAAACTGAGAAAACTTGCAAAGCAGTAAATTGCCATCACTGGCTCCACCAGCTGGAGCCGCGCCATGTTTACACCCGGTCAGTTTTTCTACTCCATAGACAAATTCTCAATCCTCTTTGCTCTTTTATCACTGTTAACAACATAGAAAAACTCATTCACTGTATTATGCACACCAGAAATAACAAAACTAGAATCCAATTGGATGCTATGGGACACACAGACCCCTTTCTATTGTTATTGCTTGTCTGGATGGAACGGGTGAAAGTAATAGGTGTCACCATAACTGGAAGTAAAGGGAAAGCTGTCAAAAAAACCAGGACGTTCAGAGTGCCCTGAAGCTATGCTGTGCATGTCGCCTCTGATTCAGAGGGTTATCTAAGCACCAGCTATTCAACGGACTGGTGCTCTGTCTTCAAGCCAGCTTCCTGTCTGTACAAAGAACTTTAATACTGCTATTGTTTCGTTAGGCAGAGCCAGCTGTCACTCACGCAGCTGGGTGGATCCAGACAGCATTGTCGGGATCCGTTGCGGCGTCTCAGTATATTGCAAGCTGTAGCTCGCGGTATACTGAGCTTTGGGTGATGGGAGGACGCTAGTTTGTGTCCTCCCGTTACCCTTAGGAGAACTATGGGGAAAAGCCCTAACCCCATAGTTCTCCTTTAATGTAGCTGCTATGCCCATAATGAGAAGGGACATTTCATTTATATTATCAGTCTCATATATAAATGGATCAATGAAAACATAACATCTTTCTGAGCACAAGGATTTTGTTAACTGACTAGATATTGTCAGTAGAAGTCTCCATGCACCGTCTGATTATGTATACATCCGATTATCATGCAACAAAACACACTGAACACAGCAGGGCTAATTAACTGACTTGCTAGCTAAGAATTTATATACAGCATTATTAGACACTGGCTGCTAATCTATATGGTATTCTATTACTTTTAAATATCTTTAATTAAAGTGGTAATAGCATAAGATGCCAGGCCAAGCTGGCTCTCATTCCACAGGCTGCTGGCATGAGGCATTCCATGCATAAAGCCCAAACTTTTTTTTTTACATTTGAAAAGAATTGGGAAGGCTTAAAATCCCTATTAGGATATTTTCCGCTGACTGTGTCCTCCTGGGGAGATTTCCCTTTGCTTCTTGTCTGGAAGACACAACAAGAAGTGAGAGGAAATCTCCCCAAACTGAGTGGAATTCCCCATCTTTGACAGCTGCCCCCAGAACATTTTTCCGCTTTGGAGGATTTGCCTTTACCTGTTGCTGCCATGACAAATGTAGGCTTTCCCCTTATTTTCTGTCTCAGTGACAACGATCTTTAGGGACAAATACAGAGATGTATCTCCCCAATGAGATGAGGGGACAGAGTGCAATTAAAATTGGCAGAGGGTTTAACTCCCACATACTCTATCCAACATGAATAACTTCAGCCTATACATACAATTAAATGGCTCATGCACATGGTCATGAAAAATAAAACTGCATTTTTTTTTTAGCGATCTGAGTGCAGGTGCATTGTATTCTATGGGCCCATGTACACAGTGCGAAAAGATTAGTAACTTTGTTCTGCATTCCGGTCTGTAAGATCAAAATAGAAAAATCTCCAGGACGCAGGAGGCTCTAGGACGCAGGAGGCTCCAGACATCTAGCTTCTTTTGTTGCTAGGGCACAGGAGACTCCAGCCACCTAGCGTCTTTTGTTGCTAGGACACAGGAGGCTCCAGCCACCTAGCTTCTTTTGTTGCTAGGGCACAGGAGACTCCAGCCACCTAGCGTCTTTTGTTGCTAGGACACGGGAGTCTCCAGACATCTAGCTTCTTTTGTTGCTAGGGCACAGGAGACTCCAGCCACCTAGCGTCTTTTGTTGCTAGGACACAGGAGGCTCCAGCCACCTAGCTTCTTTTGTTGCTAGGGCACAGGAGACTCCAGCCACCTAGCGTCTTTTGTTGCTAGGACACGGGAGACTCCAGCCACCTAGCATCTTGAGTTGCTAGGACACAGGAGGCTCCAGCCACCTAGCATCTTTTGTTGCTAGGAAACGGGAGGCTCCAGCCACCTAGCGTCTTTTGTTGCTAGAACACGGGAGGCTCCAGCCACCTAGCGTCTTTTGTTGCTGGCACAGAGGAGGCTCAATCTGCTAACAGCCTAACATCCAATAGGGCACCTTTGCGCTACACACTACATGCATGTGAACGCACAAACTTTACATGCGTACAGGGTACAAAGCACTTTTTACACAAGATCTTACTGCCAGCTTCTGCTGTTAAGATACTGTGTATTATTTGTACCAGTTGCCTATTTTCATACAGTCGTGTGCATGATCCCCAAACATTAATAATATCAGTATCGCTCTATAACACGGGGGTGGTGGTGTGGGGAGGGGGGTGAATAAAATGCATCTGGGACAAACTTTGTATCAACTAAAGCACATCCAATCAACTTTAAGTTTCTAAACTGTGAGGAAAAAATGAAAGATGGACGCTGAGTGGTTGCTATGGGCAACCGCAACAGTTGAGCTAGAACTTGTCTCAGACACTTTTTAGTATTTCCCCCTAACAGGTCTGATATAAATGAAAAGTGTGCTAACTGAAGCAGTTCTTATTCCTAACAGTACAATCTCTGGTTCATTTTTACACTCGCTCCATTATGGTGACAGCTCACAGCTGGAAGCACACTATTGGCCTGAAAAAAGTCACTAGCAGGGGTAGGCAGTATTGGAAATACAGCTGTGGGGAAACTACAAATCCCATCATGGATCTGATTCTAGGAGTCATGTCTGTGGCTGTAAGAAGCTTGCAATGCCTCATGGGATTTGTAGTTCTAAAACAGCTGGGATGCCGATGTTGCCTGCCACTTCACTAATGTGTAACAAATGTATCCGGACCTTCTTTGTGCTCTCACAGTGCAGCGGAGGAGACGAAGAAAATCTCTGTATACAAGGCGGAAATCCTGACAGCACCCCATCCTGCTACACTGCGGACACATGATCTATGATATTGGTATCAGGTACAATGAACATCCCAGGAGTGGGGCAACATACCGGACCCTATAGAGAAGTTATATGTTTACGATAAGATATTTCTAGGACGATGATCATAATAATTCTAGGTCCAATCTCTAGAGAAAAAAACACTCTATATATAAGAATGTATCCAAACTGCAGCATTTGTCCATGGCAACCAATCAGCTTCTACCTTTCATTTTCAATGCTTAACCGAACAAATTGAAGAGATAATCTGATTGGTTACTATGGGCAACTGCTTCAGATTCTCTTTGTTCCAGTTTAGATAAATCCCCCCACAGAATATAAATAGAGAATACAGTACAGGATCCGCACCCACAACTGACCTCTGCCATCAGCAGTACTTCATCCTGAGCCTCCCCGGCTGTCACACATGTCACCCCCGGACCCCTCCACTTCTCCCTCCCCCTGTCACCCAGCGCAGTAGTTGTTGTTCCCGGAGACCCCTCCCACCTCCCGTGATAATTGGTGAGATGTACAGCCCCGCCCATCAGCTCAGGCTCTGTATGTCGTCGTAGGGAGGTTCCGGGTGTCAGTAGGCGAGCCCCGCCCAGTAATGTGATGTAACGTGAAATGTTTCTAGAGCTGCAGGTGAATGAACTGGGGGAGAAGAGCGAAAGAGGAAGCAGAGAACAGAGAGATAGGGGGGGGGAGGTGTGAATGTCAGTGCCATCTATAGGGAGAGGGACATTGCAGGGGATACATGTGTAGCTTGGTACATATCATTAGCAGGTACTGCGGAGCTGAGGTAGTGCAAGTAAAAAACTGCACCACAACTTACATTACTGCAGCTCCGTTGGTAGGTGCAATGGGGTGCCATTCAGAATGAATGACACTGCATTGCACCAGCACACAGAAAGAGGAACGTCACCCCCCATTCTCCCCTTATTACCCACACTGGGTGCTTTTTCACCTTCCCATCCACATTTTGTGAGCTGACAGAAAGTGGATGGGGAAGGTGAAGGTCTGTTGTAACGTACAGTTTGCTGCACCACAAAAAACATGGGAGGGGATTTATCAAAACTGTAGCAGACAGAAACTGAAGCAGTTGCCCTGGGCAACTAATCAGCATCTCTCTTCAGTTTGCTCAGTTGAGATTCGAAAATAAGAGAAAGAAGCTGATTGGTTGCAGTGCAAATCTGCTTTGGATTTTGTCTGCTCCAGTTTTGATCAATACCCCCCATGGTGTCCACTGGCTCTTAACCCTATCACTGCCAATGGGGTTTTTACACACGTTATAATCCACATTTTAGGCCTGAAAAGTACTTGAAACCCGGTAGGTTATATGTTTCCTGAAAGCACAGACCCTGTAGAACAAAATACAATACAGAGCTGGGCAGGGAGATTTGTAAGGACCGTACACATCTCCCCGCCCAGCTCTTGGGATGCTCTGGCCGTCATCCCACCCAGTTCACTGAGGTCATTGGTTGCCAGGAGCTGGGCTGGACACTCTGGCCGGCCTGTCGCCAAGCTCCTGGCTATATTACAGACAGAATACATGTATATTGCAAGAATCATCAAGCATGTATGACTTTAGGGTGACTAAGTGACTGTAGTACTCTTAAGTTTCTTCCACTAACCCCCAAAAACAGACATATTACACATAACTTCAATTTCCAGACACCAGGTAAACATTTATATAAGAAAGCGCTATTGGGAAAGAACATTTAATAAAAGCTTTCATAAAAGCCATTACAAGCTCCCTCATAAGACTCTAGTTGTAGTCAATGTAAAGTTGCACTTGTCCCCTATTCTTACTCTCTGCGGTCTATGCCATGACTTTGTTCTGCTCTTCGGCCACTCTATTAAACTGACTTTGCTAACTGTCAAGATGAAAAGCCTAGAGAATAGCTTTGTGGTTCATTTTATAGCTTATCAAGACAAGAGGCACTTTTCGTAGAAAATTGTTTAAAGAATGTGGGAAAGTAATCTGAACTGTAAAAGGTTGACAGGTAATTGCAGCCATATTAAAGTAATCAGAAGTTCATGTGCTTCCTCAGATATCACTACAAAAATAGTTCAACTAATGTAAAATAATTGCAGCTTATTACATCAAATAGTTTAATGTGGGTCACCCTCCTCTTCATGGACCGCACTAAAACACCATTTTTAGATGGCCTTATTGAATACTTCTGTAGAAATAAAAGAAATGTATAATAGGTAATGTGAAATTAGCAAAATTAGATCCCTTGTAAAGGGGTAAATAGTGTAGATGCATGCGCAAATCTTCAGCCAGATGCTTAACCACTTTCTGTCTGGAGCAATTTCTTACTATTTGCGCACACATGATAAAATCAGAATTTTTGGCTAGAAAACAGCTCCAGACCCCCAAACAATGATATATTTTCTGAAAGCAGAGGCCCTGTCGAATTAAAAAATGCTAGTTGCGATTATTTATGCCACATGGGTTTTGCTTTATCAAACCAGTATTTTTAGGATAAAATAAACTAAATTAAAATGTAGTGCGCAGAAACAATATAATACCCAATGTTTTGGTAAAATATAAAAGACGGGGTCACGCCGGGTAATTAGATACCAAACATGTCAAGCCTTAAAATTGCGTTGGCTAATGAAGCCGCAAAAAACTTAAATATCAAAAATGTCCCATAGGGAATACTTTAAACACATTTACCGCTCATCAGTGTAGTGCGAACAGTGATTTACAGCAGTAGAATTATTGCTCTCACTCCGACGTTCGCGGACTCTTTCAGACCCCTAATGTCACCTAGGGACCCCAAAGAAGCGGAGGAAGCAGAGATCAGCTTCCCCAGCTTCTTCTCCTGGCTCTAAGAGCCAGAGACTGTAAATAGTGTGTATTACATCACTTTCGGGTCCAGTGATCCGGCTTCCAGCCGCTGAATCTCTCTCCTATCATTGCGGGGAGTCCCGCTGCACGGGGACAGCGGTGCCCGGGAAGCCAGCGATGGCTGCGGCAGGGGGGAACAAACAATCCAAATACTGGTACCTTTTTTTTAGAGTCATTTGACAGTTTTTCCTAAAACAATGGATGGGTTTCTGGAGGGCTGTGCGGGGTGTCAGGTGCGCTATGTGGGGTCTCACCTGGGGTCCGTAGGATCTCGCGGGTGGCACAATCACTGTAAGCAGCACTGTGGTTCCCCACACACACAGATTGAAGCACTAGAGGACCCGATCACGGACCGGGAAGTCCTTTTCGCCATCAACTCTTCTGGTCTTGAAGTGGTTAAAGAACAACTTGCACCCCTTCTAGCCGCCTCTTTTAATTACATCAGATCTGGGGGTACCCTAAACTGAGACTTCCTCTCTGCAACCATTTGCATGATACCCAAACCAAACACAGACCACTCTGAATGCCCAAACACTGAATGTAGATGTAAAATTACTTGCTAAAGTTTTGGCAAACAGATTGAATCAAGTGATTGGGCAACTAGTAACACAGGACCAGGTAGGTTTTATACCCAGTAGACAAGCAGGGGACAATGTCCGCAGGATAACCCTGCTTACCCATATTGCCCAGGCACAACGCACTCCCGCAATGCTCCTGTCCTTAGACATCAAAAAAGCCTTCGACACAGTGTCTTGGCCCTACCTCTTCACCACCCTTCGACGATGGGGTTTCGGCCGACACTTTCTCACATGGATATCATCGCTCTACAACAAGCCCACAGCACATGTAAAGTATTCAGGTTATCGCTCACCGACATTCAACATACTTAGAGGAACCAGACAAGGTTGCCCCCTGTCACCGCTACTTTTTGCCTTACTTCTAGAACCTCTGGCCTGCAAGATTAGCTCTTCCCCTGACATCTCTGGCATATCCTACGCCAGTAATACCCATACAATTTGCCTGTTTGCTGATGACGCCCTTCTTACCCTCACAAACCCCATTATCTCTCCCCCTAACCTTAAACACATCCTTAACCAATTTGCCTCCATATAGGGACTTTGTGTAATGACTAAAAATCTACGGCCCTTAACATCTCTCTTCCAGCTCAGTTAGTTGAGACCTTGAAAACGAGCTTCCCGTACCGCTGGTCTTTATCCACACTCCCTTACCTAGGAGTACAGCTAACCTCGTCATACCTCACACTTTATAGAGCAAACTACCCAGCCCTGATAACAAAACTAATGAACCTCCTTCAAACGTGGGCCGAAGCCAGCCGAAGGATCAGCCGAAGCTATGGCTAGATCCTTCGGCAGCTTAGTGAATAGACCCCTTAATAATTATTCCAACAAGAAAAGCAGACAACTAAAACATTTAGGAGGTAAAGGTCACAGGCAGGTTCCTGGTTTTATCACAGGCTAAAGGCGAATGTGTTTCCTGCCAAAAAACTGAACATAATATGCGGATACAGCTAAATATCTGCTGGCAAAGAAAAAGCTGTCAGCTTCATGTCTGAAGCTGACAGCTTTTTCTCTATTCAGATCGGCATTTAATAGGTTACATAGCAGGGAAATCCTCCCCGCTGTGTAACCTGTAATGGACAGAGCGCCTCAGCAGTGAAGAGCAAGTGAGGGACAGGGAGGCTCCTCCATGTCGTCTCCCTTCCTCCTTTTCACTAGCTTGGGGACAGGTTGGGGCTTCATCCGGTGGGGCGGGGCTGGGGAATGTCTCACCCGGAGCAAGAGGTACCGCACGTCACTGCCTTTAAATACAATAAATGTGGGTGTTTGTGGTCTTTTTATTCAATTCTCCAAGACGAACTTAGATACTACAGTTTAGCAGGCAGGGACCTATATAAATTGTTGTGCTGTCAAAGCACACAATTATACTACTGTAGTTTATGTCACAAGTGACGATAGTGGCACAAAATGGATTGGACTTGAAGTGGCGAAGGCATTACCCAAATGCATTCGAACTGGGGGGATCCGGGAAGTGAATATCATTCATTTTGATTGCAAGAAGTTGGAAGTTTTGATATCAGAGAACTGTATGTAGCATTTACCACTGCATAGTTTTGTTTTGTACTGTGATAAGACTGCTGCAAATTGGTTTGGAGTCTGTCAACTGGAATGTGAAGAATCCACCTCTGTGGCCAGCCATGCACAAGAACTGCTTTATCTTGTTAATAAACCCAGCAAATAATGTCCTTTTCTTGCTTAATAATCATAATACTACAACATCATTATCTTTATTATGAAACATAATAACATACTGTTCTGTAATAGGGAAATGGTCTGGAAATCCAACTCCCCTCACTTAATGTGTAAAAAAACATTATTATATTTGTTATTGTCACATCTCGAGGAGCATTCACTATGCAATCAGTATCTTAGTCTCACTGGAGCTCTGCCACCTGCTGGTTAATATCTATTAGAAAAGAAACCCTACTATGCAATACTAGTATCTAAAATCAGTAAAATATCTTCTACAGTGCAATTTAAAAAAATACACATATATATGTAAACACACATATGGTTCAGAAACTCAATGAACATTAACACACAATT